ACTCCATGGCGTAAGAAGCGCTGATACGTGTTTCGTGTAGACGGTCTAAGAACATCTTTGTATTGCCTAGATGGGAAGGGATGAATTGGAGTAACTGCACTAAAATATCACTCAGGTACCATCCTATCCGATCTGTAAGTCCACCCAGGCAAGTGATTATTGGTCTGACCTTGTAAGTTGCGGGGTCACTAGATGCGAAATCGCGCGCGGATTGGATTTTATGCGTCTTGATCAAAAGGTAAAGTACTGGGCAGGCTGGCAGATCAATTCTAAGACGGGTGATGATATCAGGCGATAGGTTTGCTGACTTTGCTATTTTCGGCCCTTCTCTGTTCAGATTGCGATATTGTTTTTGAAACTCATTTTTCGTGGATATCTTGTAAAGCGTGGCATCTTGGAGATGTCTTTCTGTCAATGCAATGTCTAGATGATGAGGTATTACAACAAATTCGCCTCCTTTGTCACTTGTTGATAGTCGTATCTCTGCAGCGTCTATCATTTTCTGAATCTGTTTTATGGTCTCTTTCTGCGTTCTACTAATGTTTGAGTGCACCCTACTTTTGCGATTCCTTGCTAGAGTTCTAAAGACATCGTCGGCAAAAAGACGAAAGCTCGCATCAAGGCTTGGATTTGCATCCTGTTGTTTGGAAAAGGTTCGTGGGAAAGGTATCGGTAACCACGTGTCACTTGATCTTTGACTTGCGCTTCCACTCTCAAGTTTGCGTTTTTGCGGAGTTTGTCTTGAAGTTCCTGTAGAGCACAGGCATTATGGCAGCACAGGCACGCGCATTATCAGGCAGCTTAAATCCTCCTATCACTGTTACTCGCGATGACGTAGAAACTTGAAGACATGCATCAGTGTCACACTCATTTTTATTCGAAAGGTTCACTGTTTTGGGCTGTCATATAGCGTTGCGTTGCGACCTACTCAAAAGGCTGTCGAATTTTTTCTGCAAGGTTGCCTTGACGCTAGATCGAATAAAAGTACAGATTGATATCGAGCCACCCACTATTCTCTTTCAGAGGCTGTTTTCTAAGTACAAAGCACAACTACGTTCTTTCGATATGCACTTCTTGATCCAAGCGTACATTTCATTCTTTCGAGTGCACAGGGCAGTTCGTAATAGACGAAGTTGTATCAATTGCACTTGACTGCTACTCTCCGGTAAGCCGCAAAGTTTTCATGTAGTCTTTTCCGCAATATGAAGTTTGGTACGATGCGGTAACGTAGGCAGCGCTTGAGAAAGTGGATCGTCTGCCGTGCTGATACGATCTTTTGTCTCAGCGATAGCGCTTCCTTGACGAGTCGACGATATCCGGCTGGTACATCACGAAGTAATCGAAAAGTGCGACTGTCTTTAAATCTCGGCATGATGAGTATTGTGTTGATTCAATTGTTGAGCCAGTCCGAGATTGGTAAATATATTTTTTAGGCTGACGCTTCGGCTACGTCGCCTTCTTCAGAGCCTGAAATGTATATATATATGTGTACTAGCTGGCTTACCCGGCTCCGTCCGGCCCTGTCAAAAACGATAAAGGTTCCATTTTTATCCCTGTACACCTTTACCTGTGCCCACTTCTACATCCAACTCCCTATTCCCGCTGTGTGAGTAATCAGTATGCTCATCTACCTTCCTCACCAACTCCCCAGCCCCGTAGCTTAAACTTTGCAAAAAAGCAGTAAATCGATAAAAGTAATGGATAAGTCTAAAAACTGATGGCGTTATTCGGCTATCCGGGCCCTAAAATGTTTTTGTGGGGTGTCTTGCTCAAAATTGGTATATGGGGTTATTCAAGCCGCTGATGAGGAATATGGTAATCATTTCGCGTGGCAGCGGGTAAAAATCATGAACCTGCCTGAAACCTTGGCAGGGAATTACCTAAAATGCTGTTTCAAGAATATCGTGCTTCCTTAATCCCCATGATAATGGCAATTCGTGTGGCATAAAAGTTTCCCGCGATTTTAATTCTTTCCTTATAGGACCACTGCTGCGCGCGATACACCCTTCGGCGGCTTTTGCCTGAGCAAAAACAGGGGGAGGGAGATTTGCCGCGTGCGTTCACTTTGGGACAGGTTATTAGGATGGCGCTAGAGACCGCCATGCAAAACAACCGTTTCCCCATTTCGTGAATATCTGGGATCTAAATTGGCCCGAAAGCGAAAAATGTCCATTCAAACCCTGCAACTCACCATAACTTCACTAATGCATTATGACAGCGAGAAAGCACCAAATTCATAAGGACACTCTTACTCATACTTCATACTCGTGAACCGTTACAGGTAAGGTTTTGAGCGTCTGGAACTTCGACCCATCTACACCCACGTAACCCAAGAAAATGCAATCCTGCGAAATCAGCATGATATTCATGTTCAGCGCGCTAAAGGACCACCCTAGACGAAGTTTAAAGCAAATCTATGTTTTCGACCCCATACCGTATGACCACAATAACTCTATGAAAAGGTTCCAATATGTAGGGAGAGTATGAAATTCGTAATCAGCATGTCGAATAAGTTCTCTGGACCAAACTTCAGCCGAATTCATGATTTTGCTCCCTACCGTACACCTACCGTATCCACACGGGAAGACGTTCTGCGGAGAAAGTGTGATATCTATTTTCAGTACTTGAGATAACCCTTATACACGAAGTTTCAAGCTCTACGACAAAGAAACTTTGGGGCCCGAATAGCCGGCCAAACTAATATTGCACTCGTAATCAGCATGCTCGATTACCCCCAACTTCCAGCCCCGTAGCTCAAACTTTACAAAAAAATCGATAAAATCGATAAAAATAATCGATAATTCTGAAAAGTAATTGTATTCGTAATCACCATGCTCGATTATCTCCCTGTGCAAACTCCCAGCCTCGCATGTCAAACTTTACAAAAAGATCGATAAAATCGATAAAAGTAAAGGACGATTTCAGAAACTAATATTGTATTCGTAATCACATGCCCGATTACCCCCCTGTGCAAACTCCCAGCCCCGCATGTCAAACTTTACAAAAAAATCGATAAAATCGATAAAAGTAGAGGACGATTTCAGAAACTAATATTGTATTCGTAATCACCATGCTCGATTATCTCCCTGTGCAAACTCCCAGCCCCGCATGTCAAACTTTACAAAAAAATCGATAAAATCGATAAAAGTAACGGACGACGTTGAAAACTAATATTGTATTTGTAATCAGCATGCTCGATTACCCCCCTGTGCAAAATCCCAGCCTCACATGTCAAAATTTACAAAAAATCGATAAAATCAATAAAAGTAATCGATGATTCTGAAAACTAATATTGTATTCGGAATCCCCATGCTCACTTCCCCCTGTGCCAACTCCTAGCCCTGTAGGTGAACTCTGCCAAAAAATCGATAAAAATCGGTAAAATCGACATCGATCGATAACGAAAAGTGGACTGTGACACCCGCCGGGGCCCGAAGTGTATGTGTGCCAAGTTTGGTCCGGATACGGCGGAGCCGGGTAAGCCAGCTAGTTTCAAATATATTGTGGAATCCTGTCACCAAAGCAGTGCAAATTTTGGTGGCAAAATTTCATGATGCATTTGATGATTTACGTCTCTTTTCAAAGGCCACGGCCACTAACAGGGGAAGGATACTTGGATGCCGTAGCCATTCATAATGATTTGTATACCAAAAAATGCGCTTTTGAATGCTGGTTCGTAGATTGTCTTTCATATCTGCGAAACGATAATCTGAATGGAGTTATGATTTTTTTTCATTAAAAAATTGCGTTCCTGGGGAGGGTCAAAATCATCAATAAAAAATTTTCTCTCCTTTTCAAATGCTGAGTATGATCCAGATAGTCTAAATAAATATTACCACGTCTAAAATTTTCTTCAGTAGCATCAAACGGTAGGCTAGATCAAATCTGGTGATTTTTACTATCCAAAAGTAGGCTAAATCTTCAAGGAAAAAAGTTCATAACTTTCTTCAAAAGACCGTTTCGCAGATTTCGAGCACAGATTCAGAATCTGCATTCGAAGGCGCATTTTTTGGTATACAAATCGTTAGGAATGGCCGCGGCATCCAATTATCCTTCCCTTGTAAGTATCCTAACCTTGTAAGCAACAAAAAACTACTTAAAGGCAGCGTACACCCAAAACAAATGCAACAGATGTTGCAACAGCAACTGCAACTGCAACTGCAGCTTACGCTGTTATGGATTCGTCCGGAGGAGGCGGAGCGAAAGAAAAGGGGCGGCATGAAAGAAAATTGAGGGGGATTTTCTCCGCTCAGAAGCAACATTGGGAGACGGGACCAAGCAGTTGGTCTTCTTCTGGGCCCAGTATATACACGGTGTAGAAAGATCTTGGAAATTCGGTAACTCAAATTTTGGGTGTACGCTGCCTTTAATAAGTATTGGATTTTCTTCCTCCTATAGGAAAATTGTGCATCGAGTGGAAACGATAAAGTGAAAGAATCTAGGAAATAAGTTCTTTGCAGGATTTTTCGTTCAAATCAAAAAACGCTCAGACCAGCGATGCTTTATCGCTCTAGACTGGTCAACGATTTGCAGGAATGGACTTGGAACAACGGAGTAAATGGTCCTCGGACCAGATGTCTCCTAGGAGGCTCAGCAAGTGGTAAACAGCGCTCGTGAAGTGGGGTGCGGGATGCTTACGAGTAAAGATGACAGGACGGAGACACGAGGCATTGGAATCGAAGCTCTCCGTGGACTCTTTAGAAGAAGAAGCCCTGTTTTTGTACTATGCTGTTCATCAGTGACGATTAGAGGCACTAAAGTAAAATAGATAAAATTGTGATCTCATGTCCTCCACTACGCTATTCTCATCTCTAGAGGAAAGCTTTCCTGTTTGTGACGCAAGAGGAGAAATGCCTCAGGTGTGATGTCTAGCAGAAAAACGCTCCTTTTCCTCAGAACGCGTTCACTTTAGCTTTTTCAAGTGGAAGCAAAAAACCGCAAAGTATGCGCGACGAGGATATAAATGAGGCAAACTTTAGTGATTAGCAAGACACACAGCGATGAAGCCTCTCTTCTGTGCATTCCTTCTTCTTTCCATTTCTTCGCCAAGGTTTGAGAGAAATTAGGGACTATGTAGGCACAATACTATCTTTGGCTTGTTTAGATCTTGGACAGCAGAGGCACATGGGTATGCTACTCTAGTAGAAGGTTTGTCACTTTTTAGTTTCGATTGTGTTTAATTAAGATTCTACAAGCAATTTTTCAAAGTCATTTCAACATGCCTTTTATGCTGCTTAAGTTCCACAACTTCGGTCCTTATTTTTGAGCTGTTATTCAAAAAAACTGTCATAGAACTTATTATGTTTATTAAAATGACTAATGTATATTTTGAATTGGATAAATGTGGTAGAACCCATAGACGGCAAAGAGCGGACAATTCTGTCCCATGAACCTTATCTTCTTTACAGGCCCAGCTTTACCCACACCAATCGAGCCAGTCCCTCCCGAGGTGGTTGCACCCGAAACTGCTCCAGTGGCAGTTCCTGCCCCAGCTGTAGCACCTGCGGTAGCTCCGGCAGTAGCGCCATCAGTTGTTGCTCCGGCCGCAGTCGCCGCTCCAGCTCCAGTTGCAGTTGCTGCTCCTGCTCCTGTTGTTGCTCCAGCTGCAGTTTCTGCTTCAGCTGAAGTTGCAGTCGCTGCTCCAGCTCCAGTTGCAGTTGCTGCTCCAGCTCCTGTTATTGCTCCAGCCGCAGTTGCAGCTCCTGCTCCTATTGTTGCTCCAGCCGCAGTTGCTGCTCCTGCTCCTGTTGTTGCTCCAGCCGCAGTTGCTGCTCCTGCTCCTGTTGTTGCTCCAGCCGCAGTTGCTGCTCCTGCTCCTGTTGTTGCTCCAGCCGCAGTTGCCGCTACAGCTCCACTTGTTGCCCCAGCTCCAATAGTAGCACCAGCTCCAGTTGTAGCGGCACCGGCAGTTGTGGCTCCAGAGCCACTAGTAGCACCAGCAGCACCTGTAATGACACACGTACCCGCCGTGGCACCTGCACCACTTTATCCATCAGTCCTTCCCTATACGACGGTAAGAACTCTACTTGGTCACATAATAATGCTGGATACTGGCTTACAGTACTCTCAAATCTATAATCCACGTACCGAAGTTCACAATGCTGCCCGTTCCTACACTAGGGGTAAAATTATTCATTTTCTAATTTGAATTGCTGTCACTCCATAGATGTTTCATAGAAAGCGGACATGCATCGGACACAGCCATGGTTTTCGGAGCTGGACACCACTTTCCAGGCAATCTAGGTTTCCTGCCCGGCCCTGTGCTTGGCGATGTTGTCTTCCCCGCACCGCTTAAAGCTCGTCTTCACCGTCAAAGAGCAGCAGCTAGGAAAACCGTACGAGCACTTAAGTCATTCGATAAGAAGAAGTTCTAATTACTCGAGAACGTTTTCTTTGTTGTGTAATAATTTTGTAAAAAGAATAAACATGTGTTCATTTATTCAGTCTCATGGCACTATATAGAACCGTTGGCAGCCCCGAAAATAGATAGCGAACAGTTTTGCACACAAACCAGTATAGTCCATTTCTTACTCACTGACCTCGCAAGTTGGCAGCTCAAAGATGAACCGATCTTCTGCCGGTGGTGGCACGTTTGATGGAGTATATCAAGCGTTTCACGACGAGTGCAACCGATACGCTAAGCAGAAGAAAATCAAAATTAGCCGGAAAACGGTTCGTGGTGGTAAAACTCGCGATTTCCAAGCAAGAAAAGTTGCGACTATTTCAGCCTAAATTGTATAGCATGTCCGCTAGTGAAACCTTCGCCAAAGAAATGACTTCAGACGGCTTTGAGAATCTACTAGATGAGATTGATGTCTTTATTTTTGGTGCGGATGGTAAGAATCACTAACTACGGAGTGTAGGTCTTGTTACATGCCACTTAGGGCTGTGCTGGCTCCGTGACGGCGTCATCACCGATGCTGCCAACCTTGTAAACTTCTTAATAGAAGAGAAGAAAGAGGTTTTTGTTTTAACTAACGACTCAACTAACTCTCAGGAAAGTCATGAGAAAAAGCTCAGACAACATCGATTCAATGCGAAATTGGACAAGGCTAGTTTTTGGTGTAGAGAGTCTTGAATTGGAAATGTAAGGGTATAGCCCAATTTCTTCCTGCAATGTGAAAAATATACAGTCAATGTCAATCACGTGCTCCCTTTCGCAATGAGTTTCGCGCAATGTTCGCGCGCGTATGACTTGGGCATTCAAATGGGCCTCATCGATAGGAGGTCCGGTCCGCATGCATGACCCTTGCGTTGCGCATGCGTAGTTCCCATGCGCAAAGGAGTACGTAATTGACATTGACTTTATGTCAAATGTAGTACTCGCCGACAGAATTCTATCTAATCAGTGTTGGACATCTAGTAACTCCCTGCGACATCTAGTAACTCCCTGAAAGCTGCGGCCGCCGCAGCTTTTAAGGGGGTGTGCCGCACCCCATTAACTATATCAAAGAAACATTTTTAGCGAACAGTATTTATACAAACCGATAGCCTAAACCTCGTAGATTCCATAGGAATGTTTTAAGCCTGATTCGTTTTCTTTGCTCTGAGTAATAGTTGGTGAAAGCACAGCCATTAAAAGCGAAAAATGGGAAAAATGAGATTTTGGATGGCTTCTATTTCCACAGCTTGGAGGTCTTTTGAAGCGGGATTTTTGAGATGGACAAAGAAGGAGTAGTGCTTTGTCTTGAGTGCAAAAACGGATAGCTAATTCACCTTTGAAACAAAGTTATCCATGTTGGAAAATGACCATTTCATTTAGGTGGTCTAGTATCTTGAATCTTCAAAATTCGCTCAAACTTTGTCTACAGTGGTTAATTGACATGCTCATTATGGATATGTTGCCCATTATGTTTGACAGGGCTTTCAGATGGTATCTTAGGTATATAATTCAGGGGGGGGGGTCTTATTAACACATTGACGACTATGCAGATTTTTAGTTGTCTGCCTTTTGGGACCAAGCCCTTTTACGGGCCAGCCCACTTTTTCAACCATAATTACACATACTGCCATCTACAGTACTCCTACAGTAGATGTGAAAGACTAACAAAAAAGTTAGAAGTCATCCCTAAATTCTATGTAAAAAAAAGCTCATAGAGTGAGTTTATTTTAGGATAGTAGTCATTTTAGCAAAATGCAAGCCTTGACACACATGGTGTGTCAAGCGGTCCCACGCGGTAGTCATTGCTTGACACACCATGTGTGTCAAGCAGTCGTCAATGTGTTAAGACAGCAATCAAGGGGGGGGGGGGTCGTAACCAGCAATCGTCTGCCACATCCCTTGCTTGACCCTGGTGATAGCCTTTTTCACATCACATAGTCGTCTTCCAAAAAGCCACCAAAACGACTTTATTCGAGAGGGGCTTTTGCGCAAAACCGTGCAAGCCGTTGCAAATGTCCAGCTATGGTACTGAGGACAGGTGTTTGGGCACTGCCTTTCAACAAAATCTCGCAATGATAGACATGCGCTTCAATTGGCAATCAATCGATGTACATCCTTCGCAAATGCTACTGCAATGTTCTTAATGCAGTACCAATCCTTCTTCTGCTTCCTTTCTTCTTTCTTTTCTCTCTTTCCGCATGCATTCTGTCTATACTTGCTTATTTGCTCATGCTTATTCCGATCAACATCAGCTACTATAATTCATTTTTACATCCCGCATTTTCAAAAAAATATGTTATATTCGAGTATTTCGTTCACTGTATCGAATGTGATCCGCCCTGTTTGTTTTTGTAGGAGAGATCACTATTTCTTCTGAGCTGCTCGATTCAACCAGCGAGGAAAGAGGAAACGTGGGCTTGTTTTGCTCGCAGCACCCTTTGGGAGAGCGTGATGTGTGGTATGAGACCCTGGTGTCACCCGGTCAGACTAATGTTCGATCGCCTTCTGGGCCAATCAAGCTCTCTATTCTCCGGGAAGGTAGATTGGTAGCTGAGTATTCTGAATGGATTGAAACGTTGAATGGTAAATGGCTGATCCTCGCAAGTCAATATAAATATTCGCAACATTTGATCGAATCCGATCATAAGGCGGACTGTGTTCGGCGAATGCCCGCTGAGGTAATGAAAACGCCAAATCTTTTATTGTTCATTCCTCTACCCTTTTTCTCATCCCTTTCATAACATCATAGGGTCAACACTTTTCTTCTCTTCTCAACTTCAGATCCCTCGACTTCACCTAATTTATTAACCTTTATATCAAGAGCGCTTGAGTATGATGCGTTGTGTGACGAGTTCGATATTTTTGTAGAAACACATAGTGACACCTGGGCTGCTTGTTGCCGACTACATCAAAGCTAATACGTCAAATAGTAAACAAGCCTACTTGATCGCTTCTGGTGGTATCAAGGACGATTTGAAAGAAAACGGTAATTACACGAGCTTTGTATTTCTGTTACAAAGTAGTTTGAATTTTGAGTTCCTCAAAACAAAGCTGTTCCAGGGCTAAACGTGTTCGGATATGGTCCGGATGTTTTACCGCTATTGGATGACAATGATGAAGACATTTGTAGATTGGAACTGGTAGCAAAGGCGAGGAGTTCTTGTACTTACAAAATGCACTCAAACCCATATAAAAAAGTAGTTCTTTTTGCAGCCGGATGATGTTGGCGCTGTGATTGTCGCTCGAGATATAGACTTTAGCTATAAGAAGTTGTTGAAAGCTGCAAACTTCTTGAGAAACTCGAGATGCCTCTTTCTTGCTACAAATGACAATGGATTTACTAATGATAAGAATGGAAATCTTATCATTCCCGACGCAGGCACGTTTCTGTCCTTTCTGTTCAAAATATGTGACTATTACTTACAGGAGCAATTGCTGCCTCTGTACAAAAGGCGTCAATGAGAGAACCTGTGTTCATAGGAAAACCTCACGCAAATGGCCTTAAATACATCAAAAAATTAAGAGATACTGATGAGACAAAAGTGATGATGATCTGTAGCAGGTATTCGCTTTTTTGCTCCGATGAGTTAAGATTTGGAGTTGCCTCAACATGACTCCGCACTCTACTATAGGGTTGAAGCAGTGACAGATAGAGGAGAGGGTAGGTGATGGGCAGAGAGGGGGGAGGGAGAGAGAGAGAGAACGGATCGCGAAGATTTCAAAATTGCCTCTGGGTTGTAAACCCTAATTTAACTTGTTTTTATTTGTGAATAGTTAGAATAATTTCTAAGGATTCCATTCGAAAAAGCCTTGAAAAAAGTTGGAGTGTACTCTACAGTGCATAGTAGACGTATTTGAGTAGCAGGCCGTCATCTCATGAAAATGTATTTTTCAGCATCAAGTGCGACGTTATGTTTGCTCGTAGAAATGGACTACGCTCCCTTCTCATTTTGAACGGGAACGGTGAACGGGAAGAACTTGAGAAAATGCGCGAAAATCAACGTCAAGACTATCTTCCCGATTACTATGCTACATCACTATCCGCTCTTCTGCCCTTAAACAAGTAACCAAGAAATCTCAATCTTATTCATTACATTGTAATGAACATTATACTGACAAAGAAGTTAGTGATTGCAGTGATGAAAAGTTGAGTAACATGTATATATCATAGATATCATCGCGGCTCGCGATCGACCGCTCCTCGATATATATATATATATATATATATATATATATATATATATATATATATATATATATAGCTTGGCTGAAGAG